ACTTCTATTGTGCTAATAAATATATATATATATATATATATATATATATATATATTATCGGTTATAATGTAATCAATCAACATAACTAAAATTTAAATTGCAAGGAATGTATTTCTATGCACATCTAAATGTAGAACAATGCAAAAAAATATTTTTTAATAATATTTTTATAAACATGCTAAAAGCTTGATTCAGTGTGATAATATATATATCACCATATTTGACAATGCAATAAGATAACTTTTGTTGAAAATTCTTGAAAAATTTTTTATTTTGTCCTAATCAAAATAGTAATACTCTTAATATTTAATAATGAAAAAGATATGGTTGTTCAAATTATTATAGTGTTTTATAACATATTTGTTATACAATGTAGATTTAATTCTTAGATCAATTTTCATATATTACTTTATGCAAAATCTAGTCACAATTTTTGTACAAATAAATTCGTTCTAAACCATGTATATTATATAAAATATATTTCTATAAAAAACTGATACATAAGTCAAATAAGATTTATTATAAAAATCTATATTTTAATGCATATTGAGTATTTGTTTAATTACATTTTATTTGTATTTATTTTATTATGGATATAAAGAAAGTTAAAGAATCGAATTTTTATCACTGTCTGACTATATTAGAAAGATATATATATATATATATAGAAGGAAAGAGAGAGAGAGACAAACAAACAATCAGAAGATTAATTAAATATCGAATCAAAGTTGATACCTACGAACAAGGACTGAACCTTAACTATTCAATAGATTATCGACAGAGATTACAATCTGCTGGTAATACTTACCACGGTCTTTCGCATCCTTAATATTAAAAACCGCGAGTCTGGCTAAAGTGTCAATTTAATAACGAATTTCCGGCGAAAGAATACATACATATATATATTTCTACATATTATATCCTTCTATCTAATATAATTGGATAAATGTTAAAAAATGTATAATTCAAACTACATATGAAAGTTATTATTTGTATTACCATTTAAGAAAAGAAACTTGTTGTTCTTGTTAAAGATGCTTATATCCTATATGTTTGATATTTTTAATTATATTGCATATACTTGTGTGAATATATTAATAAAGACTATACATTCTTATACTGTTATATTGTATATGTGTGGATATATATATATCCACACACATGCATAGTATAACAGTATAAATATGTCATCTTCATTAATATATAAATGTTCAAAAAATGTATTATTGTTTGTTTTTAACAGTGTGCTTGTATGATGTAATAATTTAGTGACAATAATTTTGCACATAAATAATTATAAATTATAGATAATAATAGATAAAGATATATATATATATATAATATATATATTTATAGTCTGACAAATAATAAAAATATTTCTAAAAAAAATTAATTATGAGTTGTATATAAAACTAGAAAATAATAAAATTTAATAAATGCAATATATCAAGGCTTTTTTTCTTACAATAAGCATTAATTGATATATCCAATTAGATGCATGTGTCATATATTGAATTGTATACTGAATATATAATTTATCCAGAATTTTATGTGCAGTAATGTAATATTCCAATATCTTCTGGGGCATACAAGAGAGTATATGTCTATACATATATTCTAGATGTATATATATATATTAAAATTAATAAGACTGAAGACTATGTAAATGAAAGAATATATATTTTAAATCAAGTATATTTATTTATCCCTGTTTAAAAAAAAAAATCATAATTTAATTCTACTTTCACATTTGATTGTCTTACAAAAATTTATTTCGAATAATTAGTCACTTTGCTGGGGGAAAGAAAATCTCCCATACATCACATCAAATATAAATATCTATAATTATATATAAAAGATGATTATTTTTTTGCCTTTTAAATATATATTTATTCATATTTCCTAACGTTTTTTTTTTTTTTGCAAGATTTTTAAGTCAACTTTTTTTCTTGATTAAACTTGCCCCTAAAATCATAAACAAATAATTAATATAAAAATCCTTTTTGCAAAAGAAGAAAAAGGTTCGTGCCAAAAATATATTTTTGGTAACCAGAGGTGGCCGGAGGTTGCATCTGACGACCTCGTGGACATGCATTGACACGCACGCGCGCCCGCGAAAGCACCGGCGAAAGTAAACAATAGAGCGTAGCTCCGTGCTCCGTCCTCCGTCCGGCAAGTAGAAACGGCAACAGCGCGCGCGCTCACGCTCATGCAGTGATCCATGTGACAGAGAAGGAACGTGACAAAAGGTGGCGGAGGGTGACGCCGCCGCCACCACTATGATCAGAGCGTGAGTGTTTGCCCGGGCGAGCCGGGTGTCTGATCCGTGCGCGCTATTCTCTCACATTCCACGTATATATATCCGTACGTCTCCGGATCGCGCGTTATAAAATATGTAGAGACATCCACGGTAAAGCGTCTCTCGCGCGTATGACATATTCGCGCTCGCGAGGAAGAAAACGCGACGGAGAAGGACAATCGCAGAATGTGCGAGTCTACCATGTGACTATATACATGACGACGACGGCCGAGCGAGACCGAGCGACCGAAAAGCAGGAGTTGGAGTTCCGCGATACTCGTCTTACACGCCCAGCGGGACTGCTGCGTCACATGGGCCGCGCTCATTCGTCGATACAGCCAGATGACGTCACGAACCGCGCGACTATTGGCCTGCGATACGGTGCCCGGACACGTGAATCGTGGCCGAGCAAGCATGGCAGTTTGATGCGCAGTGGTTTTCAGCACTTGTAAAATGCCACCGCCACGCGCCAGATCGATCAGGTTATAACCCGCGTTTCGCCGCGCGCTCCGAAACGGTCGGTTCGTCGCGCGGACGTGATTGCGGGCATTTCTCTTGGCGTTGCATCGCGACGTCGTCAGCTGCTCTCTCCATTCGATTTCATCCCAAGCGAATCACGCGCGCTCCTGGATGACAATACGCGAAAACGTGCTCGGGGGCCAGGCGAGTAAGAAAAGAGAGTGAGTGACTTTGAAAGTGGGGAAAGAAAGAGCAAGGATATTGCCCACTCGCCGCTATATAGTTATATCTGGCCAGTGTGTGGATCACGAAACTGCATCGTGCATCGGGATACGTATTTAACACGTAAGTTTTGGCGGAGATACAGTCTTCTTATACCTTGTCTTTTCTCTTTCTATTCTCTTCCCGTCTCTCTATTTATCTCCGTCTATACCTTTCTCTCTTTTTCAAACTACCACGCCCGTTTGAGAGAAAGAGCGACAGGGATGAGGAAAGAGGGAGGAAGCGCGCGCGCGCGCGCGCACGGAAGAGATAGAGCGCAAAAAAAAAAAAAGAAAGAAATACTAAAAGAGAGCGAGATGGAGAGAAAGAAAGAGAAGTAGGCGAACTTTAATGGACCATTATTTCTTCCGTTACTAGCATCTATTTAATTAACATGCGTACGGAGATGATTGCGTGGCGTGTTTTCTGTGCCATAATAGAGCCGGCCAATGATACGGCGTGTAGCCAATGACGTCACGGACCGCGAGAGTCATGATTGGCCGGCGCTGCGTGCGTCGTCGACCGCTCTAACGTGCGTGTCGCTTTGTCAGTTTCGGACCTCACGCGGCTCACGGTGGCACGCTTTCTTGACTTTTCGCGAAGGCGCGCGCGCTACACGAGCTATCCGCATGTGCGCCTTCTCTCCTACCGTCGACGACGACGACGACGATGACCACCGTCTCCGCTGCTGATTAATTGCTGCGGACTATCCTGTCGCGAGCGGCCGAGCCCGCTTGTCCGTTCCCTCCACAATTTTCTCGTGCCAAGCCCGCGCGTCTCCCGCGGAGAATGCGAATGCGACCGCACGTCGTCGATGTCGTACGCTTTCGCGATTTCATCCGGCGAGGTATATAACTGCTTTCCAAATCAACACAGCCAAGCCTCGAAGCCTCATTTCGTTGCGTTTTTATTACAACGATTTGACAGCTTTTCTTTTTTACTTTTTCTCCTTTCTGATGTGTTTGCTATTTTTTTTTAAATATATTTTAACTTGTAATGTTTTAAATGCATATATTTTTAGAATCTTATCGGGGATTAAAATGTAGCAAAATTAAATTATTTTATTCACACATTATATCTATTTTTGTTTTGTAGGAAATTTTGTTGCCTTGATAAGACTACTACTATTACAAATATTTACTTTTGCTATATATACCCGGATAAGAATAATGCGCTCTCGGATCAAAATAAATTTTCATTTTCTCTCCTTTCTCGTTATTTTTCTAGCGCGAATTACATGATTTTATGCGCCGACACACTGTGATCGTATATATATATTCTCGTGACCGTTTTTACACACGCAAATGCCACGTAATGAGATATGTCACCGATTTTTTTTTTTTTTTGCTCTAACGTGCGTGTCGCTTTGTCAGTTTCGGACCTCACGCGGCTCACGGTGGCACGCTTTCTTGACTTTTCGCGAAGGCGCGCGCGCTACACGAGCTATCCGCATGTGCGCCTTCTCTCCTACCGTCGACGACGACGACGACGATGACCACCGTCTCCGCTGCTGATTAATTGCTGCGGACTATCCTGTCGCGAGCGGCCGAGCCCGCTTGTCCGTTCCCTCCACAATTTTCTCGTGCCAAGCCCGCGCGTCTCCCGCGGAGAATGCGAATGCGACCGCACGTCGTCGATGTCGTACGCTTTCGCGATTTCATCCGGCGAGGTATATAACTGCTTTCCAAATCAACACAGCCAAGCCTCGAAGCCTCATTTCGTTGCGTTTTTATTACAACGATTTGACAGCTTTTCTTTTTTACTTTTTCTCCTTTCTGATGTGTTTGCTATTTTTTTTTAAATATATTTTAACTTGTAATGTTTTAAATGCATATATTTTTAGAATCTTATCGGGGATTAAAATGTAGCAAAATTAAATTATTTTATTCACACATTATATCTATTTTTGTTTTGTAGGAAATTTTGTTGCCTTGATAAGACTACTACTATTACAAATATTTACTTTTGCTACCCGGATAAGAATAATGCGCTCTCGGATCAAAATAAATTTTCATTTTCTCTCCTTTCTCGTTATTTTTCTAGCGCGAATTACATGATTTTATGCGCCGACACACTGTGATCGTATATATTCTCGTGACCGCTTTTACACACGCAAATGCCACGTAATGAGATATGTCACCGATGATCTTTTTTTTTTTTTTTTTCGCCACACGGTGGGTGAATAACGCAATTTGTGAAAACGCCATCCCATGTTTACGTGATCGTATGAATTGTCAATTTTCGATCGGTCGGTGTATCAAGCTCATGCATTATTCCGAAGCAAAATGCTTCTATTAATCGATCGAATCGCAAAATTTACAATCCTTGGATTATGCGATAATTTATCAGAAATGGATGTACAACGCGTTTGAAAAGAGATTTTCTCACACCTCATTCAATATACGTTTTTCGCGAGTTGCAGTTGCATCAAAACATTCTCGCCTTTTTTGAGCTTGTCCGCTCGATTCCAGCAACGCAAACTTGAGATGCGTGCTGCCATTCCATGCTGTAAAAAAAAAACGCGCCGTATATCGCTGTGCGCTTGCGCGGCGCGTTCCGCCTGTTCACTGTTGCAAGAGCGGCACGAGTGGGCGGCCGAGGTGGGGATAGAAATGCTTCCCGCGCGACTGCGTTACGTCACGTATATACGTCACGTGACGTACCCTCGTAGACACACCGACATCGTGACTTTCATGACATTTTCTAAATAATCTCGATAGTTTAATTTTAAATAATGTGCGCGGTTCTCTCTTCAATTTATATTTTCAAACCTGATAAGGAGGAAGATATCGTGAGTTTCTTGACTTTATTTTTCTTTTTCTTTTTTTTTTTTTTTTTCTATTTTTTTTTTTTTTTTTTTTTTTTTTTTTTTTTTTTTTTTTTTTTTTTTTTTTTTTTTTTTTTTTTTTTTTTTTTTTTTTTTTTTTTTTTTTTTTTTTTTTTTTTTTTTTTTTTTTTTTTTTTTTTTTTTTTTTTTTTTTTTTTTTTTTTTTTTTTTTTTTTTTTTTTTTTTTTTTTTTTTTTTTTTTTTTTTTTTTTTTTTTTTTTTTTTTTTTTTTTTTTTTTTTTTTTTTTTTTTTTTTTTTTTTTTTTTTTTTTTTTTTTTTTTTTTTTTTTTTTTTTTTTTTTTTTTTTTTTTTTTTTTTTTTTTTTTTTTTTTTTTTTTTTTTTTTTTTTTTTTTTTTTTTTTTTTTTTTTTTTTTTTTTTTTTTTTTTTTTTTTTTTTTTTTTTTTTTTTTTTTTTTTTTTTTTTTTTTTTTTTTTTTTTTTTTTTTTTTTTTTTTTTTTTTTTTTTTTTTTTTTTTTTTTTTTTTTTTTTTTTTTTTTTTTTTTTTTTTTTTTTTTTTTTTTTTTTTTTTTTTTTTTTTTTTTTTTTTTTTTTTTTTTTTTTTTTTTTTTTTTTTTTTTTTTTTTTTTTTTTTTTTTTTTTTTTTTTTTTTTTTTTTTTTTTTTTTTTTTTTTTTTTTTTTTTTTTTTTTTTTTTTTTTTTTTTTTTTTTTTTTTTTTTTTTTTTTTTTTTTTTTTTTTTTTTTTTTTTTTTTTTTTTTTTTTTTTTTTTTTTTTTTTTTTTTTTTTTTTTTTTTTTTTTTTTTTTTTTTTTTTTTTTTTTTTTTTTTTTTTTTTTTTTTTTTTTTTTTTTTTTTTTTTTTTTTTTTTTTTTTTTTTCTATTTCTCGCCTTTGAAAAGTTCTCGCACTCGACTAAATATTTTATTGTACCCTTTGTGTATATATAAGGTTATCAGACGCCATTTGAAATCGTTGCTTTTAGCTGAATCTATTAATAAAAGTGCAAACTTATTATTTACTAACAATTAATTTTTTTCTCGCACGCAGATTGTCAGACGCGGCGGACAGCGACAGAAAGAGAGGGGTGAAATCAGAGTGGGCCGGGTTTGCGACTTAGTCTTGCCAATTCATCGCCGGCGTCTGGAACCGGCGGCGGCTGCGGCGTCGGCGGCCGCCGTAACGCCGGCGGTTCGATGCGGCGGAATCAGCACGATCATTCGGAAAACGTTTGCGAGCAGCACAGAGAGCCGGCGCAACAGCAGCAGTACCGTCACCACCACCACCAGAACCACCACCACCACGAGCAGCAGCACCACCACTACAACAATCATCGCGTCCCTTCCCCCTCCACGTCCGTTGCGAGGGAACAGCACATAGGCCACAGAATGAGTCTGGAAACGTTGCTGCAGGCGGCCTATTATGTCGAGCAGGAGGAGAAGAAGCGGGAGCGTCTTGCGAGTACTTCCTCCTCCTCCTCCTCTTCCGAGCAGCACTCGTTTGTGTCCGCGCCGCCCCACTCTAACCACACTTACGCCTCTTCTGAGCCACGTGGTGAGTACCACGCGCCGGTCCTCGGCAACCTTTTATGAATCGTTGTAAGACAGAGAGACATGCAGCGGTATTGTATTGCGTTGCGTTACCTTACCTTACCTTACCTTGCCTTGCTTTACCTTACTTTATCTAGCTTTATCTTCTCTTACCTTGCTTTCTTTTATCTTGCCTCGTGACGCGAATAAGATTGTCGTACTAAAATTACAAACATCAATATTTTACGTTCACATTAATATCAGGCAGACGTATATTTAATGCGAAAAGATTTTTCTTTATAAATAGCACCCATGTACATTATTTTATGATATCCTTAGCCTATAATTTTCATAAAAAAGTAAGGTATTCTAAAAATAACCTTATATCAAGTTTTGGAATATTATATATATATATATATATCTGATATATGTTGTATTTTTACAAATATTCTTTTTCTTAAGACATTACTTATATATAACAATTAAAAAAAGAAGAAGAACAACGTCTAGAATATTTTTGCAATTCCTTACGATTTTTTGCAGTATCCTATATATATATCAATTCAGCCATATAATTTAATCTTTTTTAATATACTACGCTTTTTCTCGTAAGCATAGACGATAATAGACACGTGTCATACATCGTGTTTCTATCGTGTCGTTATATTATCAAGCGCAATAATTGCTTGCATGTTCTGTACATTATGCAATAATCTTGTCGATATTGCGAGTGATTAGCTGATAATTAATAACGCAATGCCCTTCTCTTGACAAATATAATATTTAAATCTCTCATTGGACAATATTTTTTTTTTTTTTTTTTCGTGAAATGCTTTTACTCGAAATTTTACAATTATAGATTTTATTACCGCCGTAATATCAAAATAATGTCAGTTCTATTATGTTAAATGAAGTAATAAAAACATTTGTGATTGCCTCTATGTATCACAGAATGATGAGCTTGAGGGAAGCAATAACGCTATGCTGTCAATAATCATGCCTACCTGGATTGAGAAGCACTGGCACGCGCAGTCATATGCGATGATCAACGCGTTCACCGCTTCCAAATTAGGTATGATTTACCTTGTGACAGTGTTTCTCAATCATGGCGAACGCTTGAAGAGAAAATAATGAAGACACTATCTTCTTGATTGCCATTTATTATTATATATATTTTGAGACGAACATCTATCTTAGATTCTCAAGAGCCAACTCATCTTGATTTCTCGTGTTTTCTGTCTTCCATTCTAGAGTTATCGTAAAATTTTTTTCAAAATATAATACAAAGGAGTGAAATCGTTACGGTTATAGGAATGAAAAATTTAAAGCGATGCGAAAACGAAAGAGATAGGAGAGATTTAAGTGGCAATCCTGATACTGCTATGGTAATGGTAACAAATCCGGGTATCGCGCACGTGTGTCAGACATGTGAACGAGGATAGAAGATGGAGGAAACCCGGTCACTGACTCTAGAAACTACGGCGCAGCGGTCACTCGCATTTCATTCACGAGCGCGCCATCTACTTTCGCGCGCAGCCGATGTCATTCCCCATCTCTCTTTCTCCTGCTCTCTTTTCCCCTCTTTTATTCGCCCCTCTCTCTCTTTTCTTTTCCCCAACTCTGTTCCTTTTTCTCTCCCCTCCGCTTCTACCCTCTTTCTCCTTCCCTTCTCGCTTTCTCACCCTTTTCCTCTCCTCTCTCTCTCTCTCTCTCTCTTTCTCTCCCCTCTCTCTTCCTCTCTCTATCTGTCATCTTTTAATAACATTATTGTATATATGTATAAACAATTATTTTTTTAATGAAGGATTAACACAAAAGGTATAGAAAGTAAGCTTTATGAATGATATTCCTATTTTATGTGCTATTTATATGGTGCATAATATATTGTGTATATGTAAGTAGGAACTTTCGCGAAATGGAAAAATCTTCGAGTGTTACTCGCACGCATAATCTCGATTATAATATGGATAATTTAAGCTTTAAGCAACGCTATAATTTACTTTCTATCTTTGTATATTTGATCTGTTATCGGAGTACGGGGTGCTATACCATCCACAATCCAGTACGTGATTATACCTGATATAACGGGAAATGTGTGATAAACTATCATTTAAATCTATTTATCTTATACGCGAGTAAAGGATGCAATTCCACTCTATGTCATAAAAGTCATAACATGACTATCATTCCTCGTATCTTACGCCGCATACGCTAGCTATTAGACGCAAGGTAAACACTATATCGCAGCGTATCGCAGATCTGATAACATTAATTTTATATGATGAGCGGTGAGACAATCGGAGTGTATGATTGCGATCTAAATAGCAATAGGGAAAATATCGTTACATAATAATAATAATTTTTTTTACGTTATAAAACAATTAAGCGAAGGTATATATAGTTTTATATAAAGTTCATATAACGATTCCCTCAAGAAGATCGAACACGTGTATAGCACGCGGAGTATAGTCGGCAACGACCAATGAATACACACACATGTATACGGGATCAAATCAGCCGCTGAAGTGCGCATGCGCGTTGTCCCCGGCTAAATCCCTACCACGCGCGACTGGCCGCGTGGCGTAGTAATCAATCTGCAATGTTGCCGGTTCTTTTCGCGTTTGGAGAGGGGCACTGGGTAAGCGGATTGAAGTAAGGATGGAGCTGCTCCGGCGAGTTTCTCCCCATCCTTGTGTTTCTACACGCGTTCGTATGGTCATCCCCCACGCCGTAGCTACGGCTATCACTTGCTGCGAATTGTGTGTGTGTATTCTGGGAGAAATATTAACCCAACCTAATCTATTCCAACCGGCATAGCACATGAGGATGTACATATTTCAAATTTCCATTCTTTATTATTCAGCGGATTTATTTAAAAACCTGGCTTTACGGTGTGCCCGAAAAAATTTAGGATAGATATAATAGAGAATATGAGATAAAGAGATATCTATGTGAAAACATGCTATCTATATTTTTACACATATTTGCTGTTGATAAAATATGAATTGATAAAGTTTATAATATATTTAACAAATAATTGATTTCTGTGTTCGCAGGTGCTAAATTTAAAAAAGAACGCACAGAGCCAGATGATCTCTTTTGTGAGGAGAAGATGCTGATTATTGATGGTGAGTTCATATTTATTTATGTGCCCATGGTATGCGTGTATGTGTGTGTGTAGCGCGCGCATGTATACGTACATTGTTATTAATCTAAATAATATTAGCAGCGGCGTAATATAATGCAGATATATATATATATATATATATATATATATATATATATATATATATATATATATAGATCTCCAGATATCAATTGTTATAGGTCTGTGATAGAAGCTATATGCATTATGCATATATGCTATCACGAAAATAATATACGATACAATTGCGACAATTGCAAGATATATTTTTTATAATGTGAATATTATTTTGCATCAACATCGACATATAATCCATATAACCGACATATAAAAGATTGAAAATTTGCCATTCAGGAAGAGAGATACGAATATTCTTCTTCTCGAATATTCTTTGGATATCGCTATATTATTCCTGATAGAACCGATTAAAATATTGCGTCACTACGAAACAAAAACCCTTCATGCAATTTGAGCAGAATAATACTGCTGAATGGTGACTGAAAGCAGTTCCCATAAAGATAGAAATGTGCAGAAGAGACTGAAGAGGAGTTGTGTCACTACTGCCACTACCGCGCCGTCACTACCACCACCACCGCAGTCTAGCCAGATGGGGGAGGCTCGGGGACGTCACCTCAGATCGGAGGTGGTGGCATTTAAGTTCAGATTTCAGTCAGTACTCGCGACTTACGCAGTACGAGTTTCGTCCGGTGTTGCTGTCGTTCATTTGATCAATTATCGCGATCGTTCGATCAGTTGCTATCACTATCCAAAACGAGGTCAAGATCAGCTGATCGGCTGGCGCGCATTAGCAATTCACCGAATTGCGTTTTTGCAAATATCATATATATTACAATAACAAGAACCTCAAGAGAAAGACTTAGAGTTATAGACCCTTCTTTAAGGGTCTCTATAACGAATATAGGAGTGAAGAGACGCACAAGGTGAAAATTCAACTGTATCTCGTGAGAATAGCAAGTGACGTAAAGTGTAATGAAATACTATCTATTTTTCATTGTCAGCGAAAAACGAAAATTCTTTCTCGCTAGAAAATTTCTTTTTGTAATTATCAAATTGCTTTTCTAATACTGCTTCATTTAAAATACATGTAAGATGCACGAATGTTAATACGACAATCGAGTTTATCATGGATAAAATGTTCATCGAGAAATCTACGGCGGTTCTTTCCGAGAAGCATTTCCGGAGAATGGGATGAACGAGGTCGTCGCGAAATTTAACCATCTGATGATATGATGCTGTTGCGTTCGCGACATCGATGTTGATGATATATATATATATATAGTGAATACGATGTACAGTCGATTGATTCTCTTGAAATGAAAGGAAACTAACAATAAGCGGAAATCTCGGTCGCATGTGTTTCGATCAGTGCCTGCTGAATGGTGACTGAAAGCAGTTCCCATAAAGATAGAAATGTGCAGAAGAGACTGAAGAGGAGTTGTGTCACTACTGCCACTACCGCGCCGTCACTACCACCACCACCGCAGTCTAGCCAGATGGGGGAGGCTCGGGGACGTCACCTCAGATCGGAGGTGGTGGCATTTAAGTTCAGATTTCAGTCAGTACTCGCGACTTACGCAGTACGAGTTTCGTCCGGTGTTGCTGTCGTTCATTTGATCAATTATCGCGATCGTTCGATCAGTTGCTATCACTATCCAAAACGAGGTCAAGATCAGCTGATCGGCTGGCGCGCATACGCAATTCACCGAATTGCGTTTTTGCAAATATATATATTACAATAACAAGAACCTCAAGAGAAAGACTTAGAGTTATAGACCCTTCTTTAAGGGTCTCTATAACGAATATAGGAGTGAAGAGACGCACAAGGTGAAAATTCAACTGTATCTCGTGAGAATAGCAAGTGACGTAAAGTGTAATGAAATACTATCTATTTTTCATTGTCACAGCAAAAAACGAAAATTCTTTCTCGCTAGAAAATTTCTTTTTGTAATTATCAAATTGCTTTTCTAATACTGCTTCATTTAAAATACATGTAAGATGCACGAATGTTAATACGACAATCGAGTTTATCATGGATAAAATGTTCATCGAGAAATCTACGGCGGTTCTTTCCGAGAAGCATTTCCGGAGAATGGGATGAACGAGGTCGTCGCGAAATTTAACCATCTGATGATATGATGCTGTTGCGTTCGCGACATCGATGTTGATGATATATATATATATATATATATAGTGAATACGATGTACAGTCGATTGATTCTCTTGAAATGAAAGGAAACTAACAATAAGCGGAAATCTCGGTCGCATGTGTTTCGATCAGTGATTCTTGAAAAAGATGGTTCTTCTGGTATCAGAAGGAATTATGTCGCCGATAATGCAAATGCACGCGAGTCTGAATGCGCGCAATCCTATCATCGACATCGGCATTGTCGGCAAGACCAATAACATCGTGAGCAGTCTAATGGATGCGAATAGTCTGCCGCTGACACCAACGCGAGTTGTTGGTATAATCGACATTGTTAACAGCGGAGAAGTGCTACGACGTAGCAACGATTGGATGTCACCTCCGCCGAAAAAAAAGTGGATACGGCATTATCTGCTCGGTAAGAGTTCCTTTTCGTGTGCGTCCAAAATTGCGCGTTTTTAATATTATATAGTATCAATAACTTGTTTAAAAACTAAAGATAATATTGCCATAATAATAATAACATAGGAATATAGATATGTATAGATTATACGACGGATAGTTGAACATTATTTATTTAAAATAAGATTTTCCTATGAAATCAAGTTTATTTATTGACTCTCAGTGTTAAATTATTTCATAAACAAAATAAATGCCGTTCTATTAAAATTTTATCTTTCAAGGAGTGATACATTGTAGCATAAATCCTATCATCTGAGGTTTTTCTCTTCGTACTCTCCATGTTAAATTTTTCCTTTAATTATTTCATAGATCCAATGTTTGTTAGAAGATTTATATACGTGACTTGAACAAATTTTAATCGCTAGTTATACATTATTTATGTGGAAACATTTTACCTTGATTTTGAAAAAAAATCAATTGTGACATCAATTTACATACTTGAAAATTTCTGAAATATACTTTATTTATGATGACAAAACTGATGAAGAAAATCTCTGGGGATCATTCATTGGTTGATTATCTTCGCCAGTACATAATTTATGTCTTTAGCTTTCTCTGACTTATAACAAATAATTCTGGAACTCCGTTCGGAAACTATTCGTACCCTGCTCTCACTATGATTCACTCGGCTCTACCCTCAGGGTAATGTTTCCGAATGCAACCTTTTTAATGTTAAATAATTTTGACGAATGATTTGTGCATGCGCGAGTGTTCCATTGTGATGCACCATGATTTTTAGGCATACTTAATAACAAAAAGTTTCTTTCAAATTTATTCTTTTAAAATATGAATTTTGAAGATAAGATTTGAAAGTAAATTTTTAAATTATAATTTTTAATGATTTATGTGTCTAAGTCAAATAATTTTGACGATGTTACAGAGGAGGAACCTTTGGAAAACAACAGGACGAATCAATCGATTGCATCACGAGAGAATTCTGTAGTCTCTAGTACTCGTGCCTCCGTGCCGTTATCAACTGGATCGAATTCTGTTCAACTGACTGCGCTTCACTCCACCTCTCATCATCATCATCATCACCATCACCATCATCATCATCATCACTCGCAACAGTTGCAACAACAACAACAACAACAACAGCAGCAGCAGCAACAGCAGCAGCCGCATCACAATCACAATGAACACCATAACACACATAACCATTATGTGGAGAATCATAATCCGAATCAATCTCAGCAAAGTGTGGGCAACCTCGTTGTCGATGTCGAAACGAACCACGATAATAAGAAACATCGGAGTGGGTAAGATTGTGTTTAATTTTTCTATAATATTTTTTTATTTCTCTATCTTTATTTCTTTTCTTGCATTCTTCAAATTTTTTTAGATTTATCTTTGTAACTCCGAGGTTACAGACTTCTGTGACATAGCAATTTTCTTTTAGTAATAAAAGTAATCTTAATTTTACATTATTGTCGAGTAAATAATGTCTTACTTATTATTCTGTTTATTTGTTACATTATATCTTTATCTCATTATATTTACCCCTATCTTTTTTATGTTTAAATTTATTTAATATATGCGGTAATAATGTTTTTATGACGGACACATATTTATATGCACACTAACACACATTCCATTGTAAATCGATATGTTAGCCTGTTGCTTCACATTCTCGCTTCATCTCCCTGCACAAGCACCACCGTCGCCAACGCTACACAGACCGCTATACCTATTTACGCTGTGCACGTGTGCAAGGTGAATGGCACGTGTACTATGTCACTTGTCGCGCAGCGATAACGTGTGACGTTACTCAGGTTGCTCCATGATTGCATCAGAGAGCGAGAAATTATAATTGCAGATATCGTGATAACAATACTATAACTTCTTAGAAGATTGTTTGTATAATGATTTCCTTCCCGCAAGGAATTGTGAAAGAGTCCACGGAATTATATTCAGTTTAATCAAAACGAGCATGATAGATTATTTTTTCTTTTACTCCAAAATGCAATTACAATGTACATTATCTGCAGCCAATTTTTAGCGTGAAATATTTGATATTCTGTAACAAAAATTCCAAAGTTAGTGAATTATATTTATCTTAATTTCATTTACATTTTATTATGTTCTTATTTTCGAGATTAATGCATATTAATTTAAATGTTGCTAAATGTACAATGTTATTGCGCGTTATTGTATTAATTATATCTTTTCCAAATACTTAGTGTTATTACATAACAACATTTTATATTATATGTGAAAAAGATCGAGAAATATTTATCAATTTAACATCAACAAATCTAATTATAAGCAGAAAATTATATATACATTATTTCTAATTACAATTAATTTAAAAATTCAGGTTATATCAAAGGTTAAGGAAACAATTTGTTAATTTTGATTTCTATTTAATCATATATTCTTATCATTTATATCTTCTTGCGTAGACCATGCGTAATCCGATCTGGTACGAGGGAAGTACACAATAAGTTGGAGAAGAATCGTAGGGCGCATCTCAAAGAATGTTTTGAGATTTTGAAGAGGCAGCTACCATCGCAAGATGAGAAGAAATCTTCGAATCTCTCTATTCTTCATGCGGCAAACAAATATATACGGGTATATTAAACATATTACTTAGAACGAACAATTTATAAACATATTTTCAAAAGAGAAAGATTATTTTTCTTTTTTATCATTTCGCAGGCATTGACAAAGAAAGATCAAGATTATGAGCACGAGATGGAAAGACTCGCGAGAGAGAAAATCGCGGCTCAACAAAAGTTGATGGCACTGAAGAAGGAACTCAACGCGACTTGGGATCATATCGACATCAACTCTCTTCTGCTGGAACAAAACTCAGGAACGGACATGACAATCGCCAAAAATGGTAAGATACATTTGTAATGTTAAATAATAAGAAACATGCAGAAATTTGACAAAGTTTTTTGGGGGATATATATATTATCAATTTTATTTATAATCTTTCATTAAATTAATTTTTTTTATTTTGTTTAAGAGAAAATATATATATATGTAGATATACATATACAACATATATGTATAGCTTTCTTTATCTTATGAAAGCAAATGCTTTTACTTTTTCTTCCAAAAAAAACTTGTTTGTTTCATAAAATGCTTTTCTCGCAAATTTCAGAAAGTGTAGAAGTTGATGTTACCGGACTCCCACGAGGTGGTACAAGATATAGTAGCACGAGCAGTCTGAACAGCGTGACGACAGCTAGTTCACCGCAAACATTACAACCCACCAGTACGACTTCCAATATCCATAATCAAACCGCAAATTCGGGTGCCGTTTGTCAAACACAAGATATAAATCTTGCACGAGGTTCCAGAGAAAGTCCGCCCGCGAATTCGATGCCTGGCGCAGCACCTACATCTAGTATTTCTACTCCACAGGTATTATTCAGCTTTTTTAATTCAACAATGATAAAATTATTTTGGCATCATATCCAAGGTCAAATCGTAGATATTGCGATTTGAAAATAATTTGATGCTAAAGTAAATTACCACGCATTTGCAGAGCCACTTAATAGACTAAACTAAAAGCGGCTTTGAAAATTCGTGACATGATTTTTTTTTTTGATAATATTATTTCTTTTCCTGGGAACTCTTCCATTAAACTGGAGCTTGCATATACATTAAAACTTGCCGAACCTGCTACAAATTATTATCAACAAAAAGATTACGATAGGTTACAGAGGCTAAGATAGATAAAAAAGATATTTTTGTTTCAGGAAAAAGTCGCTACATCATCCACAGCTAGTATAGTGCAGCAGTCGCATCAGCTACACCTACCTATTAGCGCTCAAATGTTGAACACGAGTCAGGGTCTTGCAACTATTGTGCCGACTTTGCAGCACATCGGACCGGGGCTTAGGGTGGTACCGAGTGATACACGGCAGCTCTTGGTCACCCATACCGCTGGCAATAACGAACCTAGATCACTGACATTGGCAGTTCAAAACTCCTCAGATCAATCTAGGCCGCCGCTGATCGCTGTGCAATCAAACACTGGAAATGAGCCAAGGCCCGTGGCACTAGTCGTTCATTCGTCCACCGCCAATGATAACAGAGTAACATTTGTACACTCTAATCTGTCCAATAATGACAGGCCACTGGCTTTGGCTATGCAATCGTCCGCGAGTGATGTTAGACCTGTCACATTCGTGCACTCGGGGAACGAAGGCCGGCCATTGGTCCTCGCCACGCATTCTCCTGCGCTGAATGTGTCAAGTAAGTTTTTATAGAAATCTAATCTAAATAAAATCAAATTTCATAAAAATCTACACACGATATTTTTTTTGGACGTATGGCTTAAAAATCTTTCTCACGTTTATTTAGGATCTCTGTAACGCAGACGGAATAAACAAGCTCTTGGATTTCTAAAATAAAAATATTTTCTCAGATACTCAAACGAGAATAAGAACGGGTGACGCACAGACTACACATAAAATGGTTAGTGGCGTAACACTGGTCGGAGGCAACGGCTCGGAATTAGCAAGACTTCCCGGTGGTGCGGAACTGAATATACTTCCAGCAAATGGTGTGTATCAATGCAATATGTGAACTCTGTGCTAGCTATTTACATTTGAAATATTCATTCTGTTCTCGCAAACACAATTGCTGTCGTAGTTACAGTACAGTAGAAAAAAAAGACACAAATTGAAAAGTTTGTTATATTTTTTGATTGCAGGATTAACTTTAAGTCATGCAGGAGTGTCGCTTCAAACTACTGCGGGTAAATCAGGCTCGACAATGATGCAGAACGCTTCGACCACAGAAAGTATAGCCCATATCGTTGGTCAGCACACGCCTCTTTCCGGTTTGACTCCGATCGTCACGCCGATGACGGTCGTCTCTCAGGGTAATCAGGTGACCGCTCACATCCTAGCACCGTCTAGCCTAGCGGGGAAGATGATTACCACTCCGATCCTCAAGTCCGTAGGACAGATGCCGCTCGTGAATGCTCAGTACCTTAACACCACAACTTTAGTGAAACCTGTTGTCGTGGTGAGTTCGTCAACGACAACGCTACCGTCGACGACGGCTTCCAGTACACAACCTCCGTCAACTTCGAACTCGACTGTCTGACGATATCAAGGAAAAACGAAATTAATCTGATCGTGTTGGAATGTCAAAATATGGATTGTCGGAATTTTTAATAATCGGAGTCTTTATGTTCTAAAATAAATATATTTTTTGTTATTTGTTGAAATTGACGAATTAGTGACACAATAAGTGACCTAAAATTATGACCATTTACATAAAAAATGAGGCAATTATTATTATTAAAGAATCTTAAGCGAAACAAAGCCTTTGTCCATTGTGCTATTCCTGATATTGAGATAGCCTTGCATTTTGAAATTTTAATTGTGTCCTATGAGAATTGAATTCAAGATTTGAGCTTTTCCCAAGAAGAAATCGACTGAGAAAATGTGAGAAAAAGACCTTGCTCAACTCATGCAATGTATATTGTACACAGTACCTTAGTTTTATTAGGGAAATTAGATTATTACATAAATTTAATAAAGTTCAAAGGGCTAATTTATGGCCATAGTCCAAGTGTCCAGAATAAGAAAGCTTATTACAGCATGTTGATAAATTAATGCTTTTAAAGCTCCTGGTCTCCATATTGATTTATGATATAAACATATATTAAATTATATATTTATTATATCGTAGAAAAACTAAGAAAAAATTTTTTGATATATTTTCGATATATAGATTTATATATTATTGAACACAAGTGGTGATGTGCAAAAAGACTAATTTATTTGGATGTACAAAAAATGGCTTACATGATTTCTCGCTTTTAATATCATAATCCAATATGATTGCAGTTGTTGCAGGTACTAGAAACTGCAATTTGATCAATATATGATAGTAGCGTTAACAGTTGGCTTAAGATCTCTGTTATTCGCTGACCATTGGAGCTAAATCACAATCTTCGATTGTTTTCTAGAAAAATATTGCAAGAGTTAGAACAGAGGTGACAGTGGTGTGATAATTAGCAAATAACACATTTCAAATTGAATGTATTTATACATTGACAAACGGTAGATCAATATGATATAGCACATTTGACGAAGTCTGGACAGCAATTTGAAATGTGTTTATATACTAATATGTATTGTATTACTCGTTTAAATCACGATACACACACAAACACACACACAAATATATATAAAGTAATAACGGTGCAGTTATATGTATGTATGTGGCAACAATCATGCTATTTTAATTTGACAAACTATTTCCGTGTAATATATGTTATATGAATAATTTTTTTTATCATGTTCTCGAGCAAAAGTTTTTTCATTATGCTTACTTTGACAATTGATTTTCTTTTTCTAAACAGTTTGTTATTTTTAAATACTAAATGTTTTTCTAAATATTTTTCTACAGATAGCATGGAAAAAAACAATATTTTGATTCGCAATAAAATAAATTTTATTTTTTATGTAAATTTTAAAGTACTTGTTCTGTGAGACTTATAAATTGATAAAAATTGAAAAAAAAAATACTACACAGAGAATGATACTGATGATACATTTAGAGTATCATAAAAGAACGAGAATAATATTAATATTAAAATTTTTCAAGAAATGTTATAAGATAATAAAGAACAAATTGGATTAACTAATTATTTATTGATCAAAAAAATGGAAAATCGAGGACTATGATGAATTTTGTGTTTTTAAATTTATTATACGGTGGCTGTGGAGAATGGATATTGTACTCCTTATGGAGATGTCTATTTAGTTTCGACAATTCAATCGCAAGATGGAATCTTTCTTGTTATACTGATAGTAAAAGCGAAAATTATTTAAAAATAATGGTAAAAAAAATAATTTAGATTTGTAATAATACCTTAAGTATTTATTCTTCTATATTTATTACACACACACACACACACACACACACATATATATATATACATAACATACTATATACATACAGAACAAATCACTATTTTGCGCTTTTCACAAGCGCGTAATTATAACTTATTAAAGTCATCATGATGATTTTGTTATACGGTAAGATTTAGAAACGCTTATTTCAAGTTGCCGTCATTATCGTAAACTACTTCTGTTATAAATATGTGTGCATTATAATGTTTCATCCTATTATACAAGCATTTGATGCACGATTGGATCGGTGCATAACTTAAAATGACTCCAGTAGAATAAAAGAAAGAAAGTAGGAATAATTGCATCCACTCATTCACCTATTGCACTTTTATTATTTTCTATAAGCATGTAAAATCTTTATATATTCTTGTAAAATTGTCTTTTACGCTTTTCGTTTATTCTCCAAGTAGGATCGTTAATAATAACCGGTAAAATAAAGAGCTTGTTTCAGCAACACATTATGTCAAACCATTTTATAATATATGTTCGATATTCTAAGTGCATAGTGTTTATATAATGAAGCATATTTTTGATGTAATTCGACATGTGATGCAATGATATTTTCTTTCATACATTTTTGCATGCGTGACTATTGACTATCTCTTTGGATATCTCAGCTTTCATTTGTGTATATTAATGAATTATCTCTTAAATCTGCATATGAAGGTGAAAGATACATATATTTTATATTCTTTAAATTATTTCATTATATCTTATATCATATGATTACAGTGATTTGAATTAAAAATATAAATACGTATCTTAATGCGCTATGAAATCGCATCTGTAATATATATTTTGGTTAAATTGCTATATAAATAATATGTTAAATTACCATTTAACATATCACTATATCTTATGCAGAGAAAAAATTTTGCTGACAGAGAAATTCAGCATAACAAAACTTTATCAGGCAATAGCTTGCACAATTTTTTTATTGTATATAGATTTTTTCTTTAAATCTTACATTATTTGATATTTATATCTTAATTATTTTTTTGCTTTTTTTATTTAAATTTAATGATTTTACCGTTTCGATGTAATTCAATTAAAATATAAAAGTATCATGAATTGTGTGATATATTTATCACTTTTTAGAATTTGAGAATAAAGGAAAATTTTCAATTTGTAATAAAGATGAAAAATTGTTTTTCAAATATAGTTCAACATATAAGTCAATAAAATTTTGTTGAATTATTTTTGACACAAATTTTCGTTTTTATTCGATTAAATCTCAAGTCGTGCAATAAATACAAATGGCCGTATTGTTATACCCTGTGGCACATAGAGCAAAAAACAAAATTGTGTGAGAAATGAGACTAGATGACTAGAAATATTTAAAAAAATATATAATTAAGCAGAAAATATCGCGAAAATAATATTTTATATCTGCTATTTGATTGCGACTGAAACCATTGTCGGAAACTATAAGCGATATAATAATAGCCTCATGTAAATAATTTGTTGGTGAGAAGAAATCGCCAAATGGACCGAAATATTATTTGCAACGGAAGGAGACTAAAAATAGTAAAACATTAAGCGTGAATATGAATAATCTGTACATACGTGTGCGCGCGCGCGCGCGCGTGTGTGTGTATGTGAACAATGTGATATAAATAAATAAAAGATTAATTAGCACACAGTAGCGGTTAAGAAGAAAAACATCAACTGTTAATTCTCGTTTATTGCGTAGATAGATGCTGGTAATTATCATATACTAGTATTCTATAAAACGACAAAAAATTGTATATAAATACGAGAGAGGGAAAGCAGAGGAGATATTGTAAGATATAAATATAATAAATATGCGAAAAAAAGAGAAAAAGAAAGAGATAGAAAAATGACGAATATAGCGTGATGAATTGTGCCCGATTTAACATTGTCATGCCGATAATAAAAAGACACCGGCGTTGTGTATATCCTATATAATAAAAACTGCAAAAAATTGTATTTGAATGAATGAGGACGAGCAGAATAAGTATGTGTAAGGCTGCGTGTTGTAAGAAAGTAGTTATTGTTGTAGTCTATGTCGAATTTTGTTATATGCCTCGGCTGCAAACGATTGTACGTCCTTCGACACACTTCGATTTTGTTATGCGTAAAACGAGAGTAAAATAAATGAAAGAGAGAGAGAGGAAGAAAGAGGAAGACGGAAAGAGTAAAGAGATGAGGGAGGGAGAGAGAAAAAATGCGGACGAAAAGCGTCGCCAAAGAGATTTGCGTTCTCTTGGCGCGCAAAAATACATTTCGTTAAAAAAACTACGATAAAATCTATTACAATAATATAAATAAAAATTTAAAGATGAGTGTGACGGTTGCCTAATCAACTCCTTACAATTGTCTACGCCGGCTCGGGACTCTGCTCGATGTTGGCAGCCGAGTATAAACAACGACGATGACAAATGCTGTTCTACACCGTATGCGTGTGCTGCGTGCTCACGCGTACCTGCAGCATGTGTGTTTGTTTGTGTGTGTGTATATGTGTGTGTGTGTGCGCGCAAATTTTTTCGAATAAATGATGGATAATACATAATTCAAGAGCTTATTTGCAAACTGTCTTAAATCCATATCTAAAAATAAAAATTGTGTTAAAGAAAGTGTTGGTAAAGAAAGACTCTTTTTCAGGAATATAAAATCTGAAGAATAAATTCAAAAATTAAATTTTTTTTTTTTTTTTTTGAAAAATAAGCTCTTTAATTCATGATCAATCCCGGTGAATATTCTGTCGCGAGAAACCTTACGAAATATATAAAGCATTGGACTTTGGTGATCGAGCCGAGAATAACGAGCTTGGCGGGACCACTGTGCGCTTATAGTACGAGATAAGTAGTGATCAAAAGATTTCGAAGAAGAGATTCATAGTCATAGTGATCTATACCTCCTTCTCTCGAGTCGCGTAAACGTGGTGTAGAGGGTCGATCCTCCAGATTGAGATTGCGATTGCAATCGCATTCTATCCATTCGCTGTATAGTTGAATAAGCGAATTGAAAGAAATCGTCTTTGAAGGCAGACAGACCGAATGCGAGAATCAAAATCGGATATCTGCCTTTCAACAGCTAGTATTTAGAGTTAAGTGTGTCAAATGTGTGTATGTGGCGCGTGTGTGCATGACATCAATGCGAATGCTCGATTACGTCAGTCCGTTGATTCCTCTTGTGAAATTTACAAAAATCTAAAACGTTCTAAATTGCAGATCACACATTAGATAACATTCTCAGGATAGGAAAAATTTGAAGAGAAAAAATCGATTTATTTCGTTAAGATATGAATTGAATTATTCTATGTTTCCTGATATAATATCTTTATCATATCGTTTTATATTCTAACTTTCTGATAGAGATCTTTATCAAAGCAAAATTTTGCAAATTTCAGATGTTTCATTTTTCTCTTTTATTTATGTATAAATTATAGTAGTTATATACTTTTGTTGAGAATATAAAAAAAACCATTCGGAGCGTGCTCCGAGCTCCGAATCGGACAACGTGATAACATGTTCGTCGTATACTATAGCTGAAAAAGAAAACTTCAGATTTCTAGGAATTGAAACTATTCTTTAACTTTTGTTCGATTTGTATGTGTAAGGTCGACTGTAAAATCTCTCTCTATCATTGAGCTCATGAAATCGACCAACGCGTCCTTCGCTTGGCTGACTTGCACACAAATAAACTGATGAATAGTTTAGCTATTGTTTCTTTAACTTTACAAATCCATAAATTGTATGTACATACGTCATTTCTATTGACTTCGGTTGTATATACAGTAAATCCTAGTATATATAATTAAGAGACACGCGGTAAGCAGATTCCAAGTCATAGAACTTGAGCGCAAAGATTATCCCAATCGTTGCCGATAATGTACCTCAAAATAGTACACAAGACCCCTTCCACACGTGCTAGACGCACATGAGTAGCATGAATAGGAGTTTGCAACCGTGCATCTGTTTCCCGACAGAGTATTGGAAAATGATGTGTGGACGAAACACGATACCGGTACGTCCCTGAATTTCACGGTTTGAGAATGAAGTGGGGTCGACCTCGACTATTACGTTCAAGAGTCCAGAACCGCGCGCTCTTAAAAAGTTTCAGTATAATCGTAAAAACAATGTTTCGTTAAAAAAAAATTACTACAATATTTTGCACGTATTATATGTGTTTTTTATTACTAAAAAATATATCTTTTATTTATTCATTCGGATTATTTGAGAGATAAGCTGGAATATTAGCATGCAAAAATAAGACAATAGACGATTGCGTTTCCGGTCACATGTTATCGTAAGGAATCGTCAAAAAAAAAGAAAAAAAAAAAAAGAAAACGCAAAGGTGCAGTGGAGTTTGACGAGTTGATCTGAAAACATATTGCGAAAACGCGGTAGACCAGATTTGGACGGAGAGATCGCCGAGTGTTTTTGGCTCAAGAAGGGGAGCAGTGAGGACGAAGAGTACGCTCTTC